GTGATATGCAGGTAATAATGACACCTTCTCTCCTTTCTTTCACTGACTCAGTTTAGTCTCTGGATCTAGCTGAATAGCTAGAGATACACCTTTGGGCTATAATGCCTGGCCAAGGGCTTCTTTTTCCTCATTTGCTTCAAGGCCACATACTTTACATGGTTCTCACTGGGATCTATTCTTTGGCATTTTGTCTATGGCTTGCACAAAGGGATGCCTTAGAAACCTGTTGTTTGTTTTCCTCAATGAAATGCCGTAATCCCAAATGTTGAAATCTTGAAAAATCAAAATCCTTAAAGTCTAAAATCCCAAAAGATCAAAATCCTGAAAATACAATTCTGGAAAAAATAATTTAAAAATTGCTTTAAAGAAATTTACGTACATTGTTAAAAGGGCGTTTGAGAAACATACGAAAACAAATAGAATACTTTAGAAGCCATTTTACACAAAACAGGCAATAAAAAGATATACATTTGTGCAAGCATAAACACTTAAATACACTAATGACAGTCACCTGGGCATAACAGTTAGAAGCAAACAAACCTTATTCATAAAGAAAGAGGTAAAAAAAAAAAAAGGAACTGTATAAATGCCTATCACTATGGTTGGCAATTGTGTGCATCTAACTGTGTACCTCTGAAATGCCATGACAAACAACCTGAGTCTTCACAAGATTGCTCGAAAACCATGATAGGTCACCACCACCACTTATGCAGTCCCCAGAGCCAAAATCCTGAGAACTTTTATCCTTCACAAATGCAGATGTATAAAAAGGACATCCCTTCATTTGTTGAGGAACTTTCAGTGTTTTTACATACGTGAACAATGCTAAAACAAGTAACGCCAAATTTGTGATAATGCACTTTTGTGGATTCAGATTTGCAAAAAATGCATAAAATGAATTAAGACTCTAAAAGGCTTTACACAATCTATACCTCCAGAATTGGAAATGATGTGAAGATGAAATACATAGCATAGTGAATTGTAAAAACAATGCTGACAATTTAAAATCGTGAAAAAAAAATGACAAGAAAGAAAAAAAACAAAAGAAAATGAGACCTATGAAAAAGTATATTATAGAGACAGATTATGAGTAATTGAACACAGACAGTCCATTAGAGCAGGCTGACTTTCACAATCATTACCTATAGTTTGAATTTTTGCATCACGAAGACTGCTTTTTTTCTTTTAAGAGATGGCTCTCCTTGGAGAATACATTCACATTCATTTTCTATGTGGTTCTGATCTTTTTGAATCAAATCTTCTAAGATTTGATATACACTGACATGACCATTCCTTTTTAAATTTTCCCGGCTGGTGCAGTAGCTCATGCCTATAATCCGAGCACTTTGGGAGGCCAAGGCAGGCGGATCACTTGAGGTCAGCAGTTCAAGACTAGCCTGGCCAACATGGTGAAACTCCACCGCTACAAAAATCCAAAAAAACTTAGCCAGGTGGGGTGGCATGTGCCTGTAGTCCCAGCTACTTGGGAGGTTGAGGCAGGAGAATCGCCTGAACCCGGGAGGCTGACCCCGGGAGGCAGCAGTTGCAACGAGTTGAGATCATGGCATTGCACTCCAGTATGGGCAACAGAGCGAGACTCTGTCTCTAAATAAATAAATTTTCCCATATTATGTGTCATGCTTCTATGTTATTTTGGATAAAAGGAAATCCATTCCACAAGCACCCATATACAGAACATAAATTTGGTGGAAACAATACTGGTGATCGAAGAGCAGCACCATTTCATGTCATCTTATCCTATCACGTACATAATCACTTTCAAATCAGACAGTATCTTTGCTGGATTCTGCAGGCAAATGCAGCTTTAATTTATTAAAAGCTCCTGGAATGTCATAAGTTGGCAGGAATGCCAATGCAGGCAAATAATGTATTTTTAAAGTGAGGTTTTCAGTTTTCATTGTTGCCAAATTGTGTAGCCAACCCACTCATCTGAATTTTCTGCCAAATGCACTGGGCTGAATGGAAAAAACAAACTTTATTGGTAACATCTTGAAATTCACTTCAGATGCCTTGATCACACCTAACTCTATATCTGTCATTATGGTTTGAGGATTCAATTACAGTCCATTTTCTTTTGCAAAGTCCTCCAAATCTTCAAATAAGTGTTTATAAACGGCTTCACATTTTCCAGTCATTAATACATAAAGGAGGGAAGAAATTCTAGAATTTGTGGGTCCAACAGGCGCATAAATTCTATATAGTTGATAAAAAAACAGTGGGGACAGTTTTGAAAGTGCCATCCATTAACCAATGTGAAGCATGTGCTGATTTTTCTATGATAGACTTAGTGGTAAATATAAGAAGTCTGTCTTCTTTGACAGTCAAATCACTAATCAAGAATAGGTCACCAGCCGGGCATGGTGGCTCACGCCTGTAATCCCAGCACTTTGGGAGGCTGAGGCGGGCGGATCACGAGGTCAAGAGATCGAGACCATCCTGGTCAACATGGTGAAACCCCGTCTCTACTAAAAATACAAAAAATTAGCTGGGCATGGTGGCACGTGCCTGTAATCCCAGCTACTCAGGAGGCTGAGGCAGGAGAATTGCCTGAACCCAGGAGGCGGAGGTTGCGGTGAGCCGAGATCGCGCCATTGCACTCCAGCCTGGGTAACAAGAGCGAAACTCCGTCTCAAAAAAAAAAAAAAAAAAAAAAAGAATAGGTCACCATTTAATGTTTTTTGTGACACTAGCCGAATCTCAATACCAGTAAGTTTCTTTGGTTCAGAAGGTCCTTGGGCTTGCTGAATTCCTTTTACTCTCTGATGAAGGGCATTTTTTGAAGGCAAATGTGACGTTATGTGCGAAAGGGTGGAAGTTGTATATGACAGAATAATTTGGAAGGGAAGATTTCTGTACTTTTTGCCTATATTCTCACTTCTATGATCTTCTAAACACTCACTACACTTGCATTCTAAAAGTGGTTATGGTCTACAAATTTTGTAAGTATATGCTATCCATTTGGGAGTCTGGTTATTGCCAGCTGTTGCAATTAAGCAATTTTCTGCTTTCAAAGCACCAATAATAATTAGCTTTACAATTTTTATCTTTCACCATTAAGTAGCTTCATAAACTTAACTTACTGCAGTCTTTTTTAGAGGCAACAATATCACAGATCTCTTCCACTGCGTTGTAAGAAACACAGTAAGAAGGAATAATATTTGGCTTCCCCGGTGCCAAACCTGTATTAGTCAGAGTATACAGAACCAGTAGGATGTGTATATAGATATATAAGAGGGGATTTATTAAGGGGATTGGCTCATGTAATTATGGTGGCTGAGAGTCCCACAATAGGCCATCTGCAAACTGGAGACCCTAGGATGCCAATGGCCCTAGGAGCTTTTCAGCTTAGGCTGAAAACCTCAGGACTCAGGGGGCTCCTGGTGTATGTCCTGGAGTCCTTCAAAGGCCAGAAGACAAGTGAAACAGATACCAGTTCACTTTCTTTATCTGTTCTCTTCCAGCCTCAAGCCAATTGGATGTGACCCACCAACACTGAGGCAAATCTTCCCTATCTACCCCACTCACATTCACACACTATTCTCCTGTGGAAATACCCTCACAGACACATTCAAAATAATGCTTTTCCTGGTTTCTAGGTATTCTTTAATCTAGTCAAGTTGACACCTATATCCCTGTCAACCTGGCATCCATATGCATCCCTTTAACCATTACTTACTTTCAAATAAAGATAAGGAGAATGTTGCCAAGTAAAACAACTAAGGCCTCAATGTTCCCTCCTGAGTACTGATAGCCTGTGCTTCTACCACACTGGACAAAGTAAGATGGGCTGTTAGCAAAATGATGAGCCTTTATCTGATTGTGCTTAAAGACTACTTGCCGGGCCTATTCCTATACTTCCCTGGTTCTAAAGAAGGGCATAATTTCACTGAGGAAAAAAGACTGAACAGAAATTCCAAAGCATTACCAGTGGCGAGAGCAGCTTTTAGCTTTTGAGGTAGGTGACAGACTTTGTGTTTTCCCCTCTAAAACAGGTCTATTCAAATAAAAGTACTTCTGACAGTTTCTAAACCTCAAACACAGCACAGACCTTTGTTTACATTTCAGAAAAAGGAAATAAAATATCAGCAGACGTATTTTGTTCTTATATCTTTTCATCTGGTTCTACTGCCCTTTTTAATATAATGATATTTTAAATTCATTGAGTAGTAAATGTCTAAAGACAGCTAATATTAAAATCATTTTTGCATAGATTAATCTGACTGCATATATATTTGCTTCCTGCATTTTTTTATTTAAATATGTGTGATCATTTGATTCACAAGGGTTACCACAATAAATTTAAAGCTCCATGAGGGCACTGTCTGGAAACATGAAGAAAGAATCCAGTGATTTATTACAGTCAGTATAAACCATTTGGCCCTTTTTATTCTTCTGGGCTTGTAATATATATTAGGTGAAAAAAAAAAGTTTTTTAAATGCTAGTTTAGAGGTCTCCAGGAAGTAAAATGTTTAATTATTAACCATTAGTGATATTAAAATATTTATATGCCTTTTAGTTCTACTTAATTGAAATTGGTAGAAAGGAGAGTAATGGAGGTAGTACTTTACTTGATATAAAACAGCATTATCAGTTTATCTGAAAAAGTAAGATTTCAGACATTTCCTTCTTCTGAGTCCCTAGATGGATATGTCTGAAAATCATTTGTGTTAATGCAATGTTTTTATCTTCAGCCACTACAAATGAAAGAAAGTCTATGTCTCAAAGTGGAATTAAAAAAAAAAATCTAACACATAAGTTACGACCATAAAAGAAATCCTGCCATTCTTACATCCATCTTAAGTGCTTTGTAACACATTTTGGTTAGAGGTGGAAAGTATTGCATTTCCATACCAATTTGTTTCGTTGTGGGTATTTTATTTTCACTTCACAGCTCAAAGCAAAATAGCAGGAAATGACTCAGATGAACAAGCAAATAAATGTTTTATAACATGGAAGAGACTTGCATTCGCGATTTTACCTGATCTGTCCACGAACCAGAGGTCTGTTCTTTGTTCTATTCATATTGGAGTCAAATGGTACCTCAAAAAACTGTGAAAAGAATTTAAAAAGACAGAAAACATTAACTATAAAACCATTTTTTTCTTCTGCATTAGTACTGAAAATTTTTTCTATATTAAACTTAATTTTAATTTTGATAGTATAAATCAATACCCTCGCACTTTTTGAAGAAAAATTAAAAAAAAAAAACAATTTACACTAAGTGTAAGGAATATCTTATTTTATCCACTTTGAAATGTCCCTTAGTATACTTGGAGGATTATCTCCAGGACCCCCTATGTGGATAACCCAATCCACACATACTCAACTCCTGAAGTAGGCTCTCCAGAACCCGCCTATGAGAAAAGTTGACCCCTCTTTATATTCAAGCTTCACATCCTGCAGTCTGTGTTGGTTGAAACAAATCCCTGTATAAGTGGACCCATGCAGTTCAAATCTGTGTCATTCAAGGGTCAACCGTACAGTTTTAGGTTTAAAGCATCAGCGTTGTAAATGATTTCAGAATCTTTCACACAATCCAAAGCCTGTGAATCAACCAAGAATCAACTGACCCTGGGGAGTGGGCTACTGAGGTCAAGAACCAGGGCTGATGTAATTAAGATCTCAGATGAATTTGAGGTTGTACTGCAATGAAGGTAACCATCCTATTCTGCCCACGGTAGTTCTAATTGACACCTTGGCATCATTAACAGCAACCTCTTTCATTCTGAAAGCATCCAGCTTGGATAATCGATTGGTGTGGTCACCCTAACAATGAAGTCTGGTTTAAATTGTTTACCTATTAAAAGACAAGGCCCAAGGGATTACCAAAACTCATTTTCCAAAGCCTTGACAAACTGTGCAGAATGTTCTTAAATTCGTTATTCATGTCTCGTCTCTTTTGATAAAACACAGTACTCAAAAAAATATGCTGATCAGGTTATTATTTAAGAATATCTTTGACTAAATGGGCTAGAACCAAATCAATAGATGAAACACAAATTCAATGGAAGGCTGAAGTCAGTCTTTCCCCAGCTATGTTCCCTTACAGTCCATGGAGTTGCCACCAGGAAGAACGACTCTATGGTCAAATCTTATTAGTACGATAAAACCTCTGAGAAATCCCAAAGTGAAGAAACCCAATTAACTTATTTAGGCAGTGTTTCTCGAAGTTATTTGACCATGAAACCTTTTTTCAAGAGAAACATAAATAACAGTTTTCAGTAATTCCTGGTCTGACTAGATTTGAGCCATAGGGATGATTTCTTACTCATTTCTACATGAACGACAGCTCTTCTACTTCCCTTACAGACGGCTCTGTTTTTGTCAGGCCAAGCACTAGATACTGGGGCAACAGCCTCACAGATTGCTTAACTCAAAGAAATGCATGACATCTAACCCCTGCATCAGCCTGATATGATTTGGCTCTGCGTCTCCACCCAAATCTCATCTTGAATTGTACTCCTGTAATTTCCACGTGTTGTGGGAGGGACCCGTTGGGAGATAACTGAATCATGGTAGCGGTTTCCCCTATACCGTTCTCCTGGTAGTGAATAGCCTCACGAGATCTGATGGTTTGATAAGGGGAAACCTGCTTGCTTGGTTCTCATTCTCTCTCTCACCTGCTGCAGTGTAAGATGTGCCTTTCGCTTTCCCTCATGATTGTGAGGCATCCTCAGCCATGTGGAACTGTTGGTCCAATTAAACCTCTTTTTTTTGTCAATTGCCTAATCTCGAGTATGTCTTTATCAGCAGCAGGAACACGGATGAATACACAGACGTTATATCCTGCATAGTGGTTCTGACATTCTGATCAAACTTTGACTGATACAAACTTCTCTTACTTTCAGCAGAGCTACTGCTTTAAAGTATTAGTTTTTCAGTATATTCATCTTATCTAACAATCTAAATGGCTGACTTCCTGAGATATGTGAATTCATAATTCTTAACGTTAAGGGGAAACAGTATAGTACCATGCACACAGGCACTCAATAATTTATTTAATAAACCATCGGTGCAAATACACATATGTATCTGCAGACTGCTCTACGTTATTTAAAAATGATGCATAATTTATATAAGTGCTGAAAATTTATTTGCCTGTTAGAGTCTATATTCTTTATTGAATTAGTTGAAGTTATATGGAATTAAAAGATTCTGCCTGAAACATTCACATTCATTCCCTTCCCCAGTATTCAAATACATTCTGTAGGTATTTGAAATTATCTTTCCTCATAACTTGATATGTGTACTATTAATTGAATTTCAGGGAATAAAAGAGGATTCCAATTACAAATCAAGTGATTTAAATGCTTATAAGGTATTATCTAAGTTCTCAAGTGTGTGTGTGTGTGTGTGTGTGTGTGTTTGCGTGCGCGTGCCTGTGCTTAGTTCAGGAATTCTAATGCATCATTTCATCTGGGTAAAAAAAGATACTATCTTTTCTATGTTTCTGGCACGTCATCCATGGAAGGATAGAAACACAGCAATTGAACTCCAGGATGCCACAACTTGGCAGCAGAATCTGACTCCCATGGATGCTTAAATTTTGCGGGACAAGTAACATCTGGGCAGAAATACCATGCTAACCAAGACTCATGGTTCATTTTAGTGAGGGCTTGACAATTCTTCCTAGCACCAAAGGATCAGAGCTCACGATGCTACTTGATTCTGTCCTTCATGCATTTTCTATAATGCTTTCAGTTAGGCTTACTGCTTTGGTTTAGGTATTTAAACCACATTTCTTAAACATAAAGCATTGTATATTTCGATGAGCAATTTAAACACTTCAACAACTATTTCAGAACCTATATACAGCTGGATTTAGTCTACTCATTTTTTTCCTGTGCTTTATAATAATTAGTTTTTCATAATGTTATCATTTTCAGTTGGCTTCAACTATTTCTGAAGCAGAGAAGTAAAAACTCTAGCAACTTGTGCTGAAAACAAAATGTGGTAATATCCATGCTTAGGATATACTGTTTTGCCCTTTTTTTCACATACCCTCACTACTTCAGAGAGCACTGAAAGTAATATGCTGTAGTAAACAGAATCTGGACAGTTGTCCAGGTCAAACTAATTCTGTCGGGGACCAGTCTTGTACCGCACCTGCCTTCTTCTAGTTGAAGGCTCTGTTCATGGTCTCAAATGCTAGAGAATCCAGTACCTTACCCTACTCCTGGACACAGTCATTACCGAGTGTGTTATCTGGTTCACATTGCGCCAAATGAAACATCTTTCACTGGAACTTTACAAACCAAAGCCCCAGAAAACATGCCCTCCTTTCTCTTAGTTGCCTGTGGCCACAGAATGGGATACAAGGGAAGCGAGGGACTGAACATTGATTCCAATGGTCAGGTTATCTCCAAGGCCTCTGCCCTTTCCAGTTGAAGTCAAACCTATAAGGATTTGACTTCTTTAACCTCCAACATCCTAATACACAAAGTCTGTAAACATGTCAAATGTTAGTACTGCACAGAAAGGAATAGCACCTTTTCTTCAGAAAACAACTTATTTTCTCTCTAGGTTAAATTTTCAAAAGAGGTTTCTTCTCAGTCTCTTTTCTTCCTAAAAATCCACCATTCTTTCAGAACTCCTTTCATTGTTCACTTCTTTTTTTCTTTCTGTGACAGGGTTTTACTCTGTCTCCCGGCTAAAGTGCAGTGGCACAATCACAGCTTGCTGCAGCCTCTGCCTCCTGGACTCAAGGGAGCCTCCTACCTCAGCCTCCCAAGTAGCTGGGACCACAGGTGAGTGCCACCACACCCGGTTAATTTTTTATTTTTGGTAGAGAAGGGGGGTTTCACATATTCTCCAGGCTGGTCTCGAACTCCTGGCCTCAAGTGATCCACCCACCTCCGCCTCGCAGAGTGCTGGGATTACAGCCATGAGTCAGTGCACCCAACTGTAAACTTTTCCTTTTCTTCTTCAGGTTCACTTCCTCAGCATCTCCCTTCCTAATCAGGCATATACTCCTTGACATTTCTTGCCTTCTGGCAATCCTGTGATCTGTAACAGTACTCAGGCTCTTGGAGTTACAAGTGACAGAAACACAACTCAAACTAGCTCAAAGGAAAATGGAACTTTATTATTGTTTACAACACGGTTGTACCTGCTTTCAGGAAGGACAAGATTCAGAATTTCAAATGATGCCATCATGACACCGGTTCCTTCCTTCTCTTTAATTGGCTTGGTTTATGCCTGCATGAAGGCTTTTTCCATGAAGCAGGCTAAATGACAACAGCAGCCCCTGCCTTCCACACTCCTAGCAACCCTAAAAACCAGTTTATTTCCACATAGTTCCAAGAGAAAAGTCTAGAATCATCATGGCCAAGAAATGAGGTGACTATTCTGTGAGCAGGGGAGGATGTTGGTAGAGAGACACAAAGACATAGTATCACCACTAAAATCACATGTATTATTTCCTCTACAGCAAAGGAAAATTTTATTTAAAAAAGGTGAGAAGATGTTCAGTAGACAGATGCAACTAAATTATTTATAATACGTTGTAAAGCTAACAACCTCAAATAATTTCATTTCACATACACCATAGCTACAAAATAATTTGCCTATAGTAGAAAGGGTATTCCTAGTTTAAGTATCTGAAGGGCATTAATTGATATAAATATAGTAAGTATTTATATTAATCTTTATCTCATATCGGTTTGAGAATAAATTTAACAGTTGTATTTAATATAGTAGTAAATGGATCATTATTTTCTCCTCATAGTCACATGATAAAAATATAAGGCGTGATTATACCAATGGATTAATATCTATTAGACACCTATTATAACATTTGTACTTTCTTATTATACAACTTTTTATATCAATGAATAATTAATTTTGATATCTATTAATATATTGTTATATATAATGTTATAGACTAATAATACATTTTATATTATACATATAAAATATAACATAATTTAGTATATTATATATAATTACCTAGTAATATATTCAATTAATTATAATTATATATTATACAAATAGTTAATGCTCAGATACAAAATACACTTATTAATCCTTCTAAAAGCCAATATATATTT